CAGCCAGGATGGTTAAAGACTGGAATAAATTGACTAGGGAGGTTGTGGAATTTCCATCACTGGAGATATTTAAGAGCAGACTAGGTAAAAATCTATCAGGGATTATCTAGACGGTGATGGATCTTACCAGGAGGGCAGGACACTGGACTTGAGAACCTCTTCAGGTCCCTTCCCGTTCTAGTTTTCTGTGATTCTACACAACTAACTGTTCTACTCAGGATCAGACAGAATAAAAGACATAGGCTCCCACCCTTGAGTCCAGCCAAGCAGGGCTCGATATATATCCTGGATGGATAGAGGAATAAAGGGAATGGAACTGCTCATCCCATTTCTTACTTTAGGCCCTTGCCCTATGTGCAAGGCAACCTCCCAAGCTCGAGGAATCTTCATTTGCCGAATTTGTGCAGGTTCCCCTCTCTTTTGAAGCCACTGCAGCGTAGAAACACGTCGTAGCATGGTGCTAAGATCTCGCTCACATGTTTAGGGTTTTGTGCTAATGCCCATTTCAGCAGTGTCTCAGTTGCTGAAGCCACTGAAATCCATTTTCTCGTTCCCAAAGATTTCAGAATGCCACATGGAACAGAAAGTGTTCCAAGATGCAACTGTCTAGGCACTGTGGGCAGAAAAGCAACAGCCAAAACCACCCATAGCACAGTGTGTTGCTAAGAAAGGAACTTTTATGCTTCCAATGAGCTTATGTGCCACTTGTAGCCTTCTATGGAGAGGTGAAGATTGATGTTCAGCACTGCCATTCGTACATATCCTGACACATCAGGCCATATCCTGACATCCCTTCATATATGAGCAAAATCTGCACTGATGTCAATATGAGTTTTGACTGAGCGCTAAGTGCAGGATGAGGTCTATATATTTTTTCCCCTAGCTTCATTTTTCAATCTGGTATGAGATGAGAATAAAAACATGAAGTCCATGCTCTCTCTGCTATTATTCTGCATATTTTCCCTGTCACTTAGTTTTAAATATACACCTTGACCCCGAAGAGGGGTACTCTTTTCTTATTGCTCATTTACCAGCCTGAATATAGTGATGGTAGATAAATACGATTTCAAAGAGGAAATGAGTGAAATATGTCTAAACAAGAAGAGTTTTGTGTCATCTGAAATCTAGGCAGGCACCACAGTGCCTGATGAGACTGCTACAAAATCCTTAAGTGCATCAGTAGGCATTCTTCTGTGTGTAGTCTCCTGCTCTACTTATGGATAAAGATGTAATTCAATCACTGAAGCTAATGGATGGCATAAACCTTCAATATCACAAATAGTGAAAGGCAAAGCTAAGTCCATGGCCCTTTTATTTTAATCCCAACATTGTTTGTGTTTTGTATTTTGATAATATGATAAAGGAATGTGACAGAAAAACAATTAAGCATTGTAATAAACTAAAGATATACTGTATATTATGAATTTAACTGAGTTTTTTCTGAAGGTCTCTAACCTATTTCACCTCAAAATATTCAGTGATATATTAATAACTTCCTAATTATTGTGGGGAATTGCACTAACAAAACATATGTATGACCTTGTTTGCAGAGAGTAATTGCCTTCAGACCAACCTTTTTAACGGAGTTGGGGAACCTAAGACCCCAGGGCTGGATGCAGTCCCCAGCTTGCCTGGATCTGGCTCCTGAGGCTTAGGGTGCAGGCACTGTTGAGGGGTGCGGGTTTTTTTGTTTTTCTCACTTGTGTGCAAACCCCTGACTGATTTTTTTTATTGGTCAGTGGCCCATGACATGAAAAAAGTTCCCCACTCTTGCTCTATAATATATTGTATAGACAGAATATTTTCCAGCTCTACTTTACAATAATGTAGAAATTCCTATTTCAAAATGGATTCATGCATCTCACTATGTTCCAAGCCTAATTTAGGGAGGAACCTATTGTTTCCTACTGGAAGGAGACCCATTTGGTGGTGAGGTCTTTAGTGGTTTTAAAAAGCGGATACAGGCAGTCCCTGGGTTACGTACAAGATAGGGACTGTAAGTTTGTTCTTAAGTTGAATTTGTATGCAAGTCGGAACTGGCGTCCAGATTCAGCCGCTGTTGAAACTGACCAGCAGCGGCTGAATCAGACACGCCTGGGGCAGAACAGCTGGGGTGCTGCTGGGTTGGTCTCGCAGCGCCGCTCCTTGGCGCTACTGGACCAACCCGGCAGCACCCCAGCTGCTCTGCCCCAGGTGTCCTGATTCAGCTGCTGATCAGTTTTAGCAGTGGCTGAATCAGGATGCCTGGGGCAGAGCAGCTGGGGGGCCGCTGGGGTGGGGCCGGGGAC